CAAAGCCACAGCGAGATCTCACCACACCCCCACCCCGATGGCTAGCATCCAACAGACAGACAGTAGCAAGTGTGGACAACACGGGGCGGGGGGGGGGGGCCGGAGCCCTCGCGCCCTGCTGGTGGGGGTGCATCCGGGGGCAGACGCTTTGGAAGACAGTCTGGCGGGTCTTCCAAATGTTAAACACCCAGTTAACACGGGACCCAGCAGCTCCGCTCCCAGGTAAATACTCCAGGGAAACGAGCACACACACGCACACCGCAGCTCGTATGGGAGTGTTCACGGCAGCGTCGCTCATCACTGCCAAGTAGCAGAAACAACCCAAATGCCCATCCACGGATGAATGGATAAATAAAAATGTGGTACGTGTCCATAGCATGAAATATTATTTGGCAACACAAATAATAAGTGATACAGGCTACAACACGGATGAACCTCGAAGCCATTATGCCAGTGAAGGAAGGCCACGCATCATATAATCCCCGTTGGCAGGAAATGTCCGGGGTAGGCAACTCTCGAGAGACAGAAAGGCAATAAAGGGCTGCCGGAGGTTGGGGGTGATAGGTCAGGGAGGACTGGCAGTGACTGTTAATGGGCTTCGGGTTTATTTTTAGAGGGATGAAAATGTTATAAACAATTAGATGTGACGAAGGCTGCACAGTACTGTGAATATATTAAAAACCACGGATTGTATATTTTATTATGTATGTATGTATTTATATTTTCTTTTATATTTGAGAGAGAGAGCAGGGGAGGGGCAGAGTGACAGGGACAGAATCTGAAGCAGGCTCCATCCAGGCGCTGAGCTGTCAAGCACAAAGCCCGATGCGGGGCTCAAACTCAGGAGCAGTGAGATCATGACCTGAGCTAAAATTGGGTGCTTAACTGACTGAGCCACCCTGGTGCCCCAGAATTGTATATTTAAAAATTTTTTTTTTCAACGTTTATTTGTTTTTTTTGGGACAGAGAGAGACAGAACATGAATGGGGGAGGGGCAGAGAGAGAGGGAGACACAGAATCGGAAACAGGCTCCAGGCTCTGAGCCATCAGCCCAGAGCCCGACGCGGGGCTCGAACTCGCGGACCGCGAGATCGTGACCTGGCTGAAGTCGGACGCTTAACCGACTGCGCCACCCAGGCGCCCCAGAATTGTATATTTTAAATGAGTGAACTGCACGTATATGAATGACTTCTCAATGCATTTGTTCAGAAACTATATAGCAGTCCAATCTAACGGGCAAATACATATTTTTAAAGTTTATTCATCTGTTTTGAGAGAGAGAAAGAGTGCGTGTATGTGAGTGGGGGAGGGGCAGACAGAGAGAGAGAGATGGGGAGAGAATCTAAAGCAGCCTCCACACTGTCTTCGAGGAGCCCAATGTGGGGCTTGAACTCACACTGGGAGATCATGACCTGAGCTGAAGTTGGACGCCCAAACGACTGAGCCCCCCGGGCATCCCCAACAGGCACCACATTTAAAAGAAGTAGCATAAGGGGCCGCCTGCGTGGCTCAGTTGGTCGAGCACCCGACTCTTCGTATCAGCTCAGGTCAGGGGTTCAAGGTCGTGGCATTAAGCCCTACGCTGGGCTCCATGCTGAACATGCAGTCTGCTTGAGATTCTGTCTCTCCCTCTCCTTCTCCCTCTGCCCCTCCCCTGCTCAAGTGCGCTCTCTCAAAATAAATACATGAGCATTAAAAAAAAGCAGTAGCTTAAGGAGTATAGCATCTACAGAGCTTTGGATTCTTCAAAGTAGGTGGAAATTCACATCTTTAAAGGTACTGTGACCACACACACACCAGGCAATACTCAAGGGGGCTGGCTAAGTGTTGCTTCAGGGGTCAGCAAAGCACGTGGCATCCGGCGGAACCAGGAAGGGACCCACATTTCTTCCACCTGCTCTGCTGGGTCTAGGCACTGCTGGGGGTGGAGGCCTTCTATTGACCGCGTGAGTCTGGCACTCAGTCTCCACTTCTGAGAGGGCAAGAAACCACCATCAACTACCATCCTGGCTACGTGCTTTCTTCCTTCTGCCTGTCCCACGAAGAGGGAGGCTTTGAGAAGGCAGAAATACTGTCCACCAGTCTATTTCCTCACCTAAAAAAGTTCCTGGCCCATAATGGATGCTCAGTAAGTATCTGTAAGTACTTTAGGGGGTCAACTGTCCAACACTCCAAAGACCGACCTGACTTTTGGGGTGGGGGACAAAGTGTGGAGAGCAGGAAGAGAACCCAGTTAGGACACAATTATCAACAGGGAGAGAAGTAACGATAGTTTAATCTAAACAAGAGTTCCGGGGCTTTAAGCATCCTGAGCAGTTGTGGTAATGTGCACTTCTTTTTATTTTTTAATGTTAACTCATTTATTCGGAGAAAGAGAGGGAGAAAGAGAGAGCGAGCGCAAGCAGGAATAGGGAAGGGGCAGAAGGAAAGGGAGAGAGAATCCCAAGCAGGCTCTGCACTAACGGCGTGGAGCCCAACGAGGGACTCGATCCCACCATGAACCATGGGATCATAACCTGAGCTTAGCCAATGGGGCCCCCCCAGGCATCCAGGTAACGTGCACTGTAAACACAAGGGAGCCTGATTTGAACAGGGGAGGGGACCCGGTTCAGAGCCAGGCATCTGACCCAAACCAGGCTGACCTAAGCCTCATGTTCTGCATTCTTCCTCCTCCCTCCTTAAAAATGGAAAAACCTGGGGTGCCTGGCGGGGGGGGGGGCTCAGTAATTTGTGTCTGACTCTTGATCTCAGCTCAGGTTCTTGAGAATGAGCCCCGGGTCGGGCTTTGTGCTGACAGTGTGGGGCCTGCTTGGGATCTCTCTCCTTCTCTCTCTGTCCCTCCCATGCTCCCACTCTCTCTCAAAATAAACAAACATTAAAAAAAAAAAATGGAGGGGCGCCTGGGTGGCGCAGTCGGTTAAGCGTCCGACTTCAGCCAGGTCACGATCTTGGTCCGTGAGTTCAGCTCCGTCGGGCTCTGTGCTGACGGCTCAGAGCCTGGAGCCTGTCATTTCGATTCTGTGTCTCCTCTCTCTTTGCCTCTCGCCTGTTCATGCTCTGTCTCTCTCTGTCCCAAAAAATAAATAAACGTTGAAAAAAAAAATAAAAAAAAAAAAAAAGGAAAAACCTTCCAACCATGTGATTTAATATGTAACAAATTGATGTGCTTATAAATTTAATATGTATTAACAAATGGATTTATTATTTTTAAAAATAATTTAAAAATGTTTATTCATTATTGAGTGAGTGAGCGAGAGGAAACATGTCGTCTTCCTAGCGAGAAAGGGGGGGGGGCAAGGCATGCTGGGCAAAGGCCAGAGGGAGACAGAGGACCCGAAGCAGGCTCTGCACTGACAGCAGAGAGCCCGATGCGGGGCTTGAAGTCATGAACCGCGAGATCATGATCTGAGCCAAGGTCAGGTGCTTAACTGACTGAGCCACCCAGGCACCCCGAATTTAATTTAAAGATAAAATAAATTTGATATGCAATAAAGAAGCATTTAAAATCAATGGAGAAAAGGGAATATTCAACACATGATGTACAGGCAAATGATTTTTCTATCATTTTATAAGAAAATAAAGTTATATCCCTCTCCTGCACTATAAAAAAACAAAGTTCCAGGAGGATTATAAAGTGAATGACAAAATTACGAAGGTGTTAGGGAAAATGTTAGGTTGTTTCTTTGAGATTCTGGCATTTTGGGAGGCCTTCCAAAGTAAATGAGGCTTGAAAGTGAGGAGAGAAAAAACGAGACTCTCATTTTCTTTAGTCTGAACAGGAAAAGGTCAGGGCACTCATCATGAGTGACGGGGAAGGAACCTCACAGCCTCGGGCTGACCACACATTGGTAAATTCTCAACTTTAAAAGAGTTAACAACAACAAGTTAAAATAAGTTGATAGCGACTTCTGACACAACAGGTTATGAAAAGCACAAAAATGAACATTGCTTTCGAGTATCTTTTCCAAAGCAAACACACTAAAGTGAGAAATAAACATAGTTTAGGTCATAAGATTAGTCACTTCTGAAACATGTAGCTTTGGGGGAAAAAAATCAGTAACTTAAGGAGGAGTTCAGTGAAAATCAGGATATAACATTTTATATTAAGCAACAAGGACTCCCTTAGAACCAGGGAGTACTAATTTCAGAGGTGGGTGAGACACCAACAATTCAAAAAAACACTCAACAGAAAACAAATTCAGTGTCAAACAACACAAGTTTGAAACGGGATCCTGCAAAGGGCCTAGAAACAGGCTGTGAAGCAGGTGACCAGAGAACAGAGATTTGGGCCTGAATGAAACCAACAATGAACTAACCGCAGGACCACAGAGGCCATCTCGGCCACTCAGGGCAGACTGTCCTGACACCAGCTCGGTCCCATCACTATTTTTTTTTTTTTTTAATGTTTATTTATTCTTGAGAAAGAGAGACAGAGCACGAGTGGGGGAGGGGCAGAGCGAGAGAGGGACACAGAATCCGAAGCAGGCTCCAGGCTCCGAGCGGTCAGCACAGAGCCCAACATGGGGCTCAAACCCACGAACCGTGAGATCACGATCTGAGCCGAAGCTGGACACTCAAACGACTGAGCCACCCAGGCGCCCGGTCCCATCACTGTTTTAACTCTGCCCCATCATTAAATTTTCCTGCACAAGTATGGACAACGTGTTTACTTCTAAATTATAGTGAGCACTACCACATCAAAGAGGGTAAGATAGTATGCTCAAATGAGGGCTCTAATGTATGTGGCCCATAGGGTACTCGTGGGAGTTAACACACAGGACACGTCGACTGGCCCTGGGAGGTACCCAGTTCCCTCAACTGTTATCGTTACAACACAGGACACATTACGAAGACTTCCATTCTTCAAGTCCAAATTTCGCAACAAGAGGACTTCTTTGTGGGGAGTGTGTTAGGCTCAAACGTCTCGGCTTGTGCCAAGGACGCCAGAGCCCGTGTGTCACTCAGGGTCGGGACGCGCTGGTCAGACTGTAACCACTTACCATATGGACTACTTCCGGGTAAATGGGCTCTGTGATCACACTCCGGTTATGGGTGATATATTCTACCATTTCACTTAAAGCAGCTCGTTTTACTTCCTTCCACTTTAGGTCACTCAGTGGATCGGAAACAAAGTCAAAGAGGACACAACACTGACGCAACTTCTGGATAAAAAGCTTCTCTTGATCAGCAGGAGGAACATCTGAAAAGCAGAAAGCAAAGTACGTTGATCGCAAAGATGCTTAACCCACAATCACCGTGAAACGCTTCTAAGCCTTCTACTACTTTTATTTTGAATTAATAGAGACTCGAGGGAAGGGGCGGGGCGGGGGTGAAGAGAGGTCAGACATTCCCCAAACAGAAAAACGACAGCCCGTCAACGGCTCAGCTCATGCGCTTATGAGAACGTTTCTATACCGTTTACTCTCCGAAACCACATCGAGGTTACTGTTCAGAATACGCCCTCTGGATGCGTTCCCTCATTCGGCGACGACCGCCTGACTGCTGGCTGTCACCACACGCTGGCACCGTGCCGGGCCACGGAACGAGAGCCAGACCGCAGGCCCCGGTCTGGGGCGAGGGGCACGGACGCCCACGCCAGCGACACCCGCGGATGCAGGTAGGGCGAGGTGAAGAGGGTGACAGGGGGAGGGCACACGGGTGTCCCCTGGCTTCCTGCAAACACGGAGCAAGTGCCATCAGTTTGAGGCTTGTCAGAACGAGCGGCTGCAAACACACGGAGTCACCGCTCTGGCGCTCCACAAAACACCTTTCGTCCCTTACTCTGGGCTCCGGTCAACTCACACCAGACACGACGCCTGGTGATCTTAGTGGTGACGGCAGCACAGAAACAGTGCAGAGTCCTAAGTCGTAGCACTCGCCTTTACACAGTGGGTGCCTGCCTGGGCAGGGACCATCCTACAAGCTTTCTCCGTACGGACACGTGTTTTTTCAGGTTATCTGTACAGTGACACAACAGAGGGAGGAGACCAGTCTGGAGGGCCACCTTAGGGCTGGGAAGTGGCAGAGCTCTGGACGATTTTCCAGGATTCTGGAACGTCTGGAAAGCTATCTGCCAGCGTGAGCTTGACGGCTTCCCTGGGGTGAAGATGAGCTTTGGGGGTGACGCTAATGAGTGAGGTTTCTCGATATACATACTGAAATGTGTCCGACATTTGCAAAGTGTCTCAGAAGGTCTGCAAAACTCAGTGAACCAGTATCTTCAAAGTGATCGATAAATGGCATTACAAGGTCCTTCCAGGGCACTCAAAGTGCAAGTCCTTCCACTGGATTTTAATGGAATAAAATGTATGCTCGGCTCATTATATGGTTTCAGATTCCCCATCACAGATTCCTTCAAGAAACTGCCTGTTTAGGTTTTGGTGTAATATCAAAGAAAATTCTGGAACTACGTGCAAAGGATATTAAGGAACTCGTCCCCAGCTTCCCCAAACATGTGTCTTCATACATTTCAACTAAGACACACGGCGACACACTGAATGCAGAAGCAGACAGGAGAATCCGGCGATCTCCAAGTAAGCCAGGCAGGAGGGGGATGTGCACAAAGAGAAAACAATGCCACTCTCTCACTTAATTTGTTTTTCTTTCATAAAATATGGCTTTGCTCATAAAGACGTTATTTCTGTTAACATGCGCTAGGCTTATTGTATTATTATTTTTTTAACGTTTACTTATTTTTGAGAGATAGACCCAGAGCACGAGCAGAGGAGGGGCAGACAGAGAGGGAGACACAAAATCGGAAGCAGGATCCAGGCTCTGGGCTGTCAGCACAGAGCCCGACGCCGGGTCGAACTCAAGGATCTCGAGATCGTGACCTGAGCCAAACTTAGACGCTTCACCGACTGAGCCACTCTGGCGCCCCGAGGTTTATTATTTTCAATTTTAGGATACGTGCTGCCAAAGCGAGCACACGGTTTTGTTATTTTTATATGAATTAATAAATATACACTTTATCTTTTCTGCTTTCATTTGGAACACGGTCGATATCGGTAGCTAAACCCACATACGCAAAAGCTCGTCGGGGGTCCTACATAACGTTTAGGAGTGTGAAGGGGTCCCGGGCCCAGAGCTGAGACCCCACACCCACCTGCGCCCAGGGAGCACCTCCGGGCCCTCGGGTTTTCCTGCCTCAGTGCTCGCGCCCTCACCCTCTTCGCCCCGAGTGTCCTCCCGGCTCCTCCTCGTTCCTGCCACCAGCTGCCCGTTTCCTGCTCAGGGCTCTGCCAACCTAGTCAGCCGTGGGCCGCGCTCCGAGCCGGGCGCTGCGCACTAGCTATTGCTTCCCGCATCTCAGCTATCCTGCCTAGTATCTCATGCTTCCCCCCACATGCTCCCCGAACGCACGGGCCAGGTGACTACGTTTTCTAGTTCTCCGTGCACCCCTAACGCCCAGTAACGAGGCTTGCAGAACCAGATTCATAAACATTCTGAGTAGTAGGTGTCTGTCTGTTGAATCATTTTCAACGAATGACGACCGCTACGGTGTTTGGGCCCAACCTCTCCCAATGAAAAGGTTTCCTTTTCTGAATTACCTCCTTGCTTGACTTCAATCCTCACTCAATTAACTCTACAGCTTGGTTCATCCTCCGGTCTGCTAGGATCACCTCAATGAGTTCATTTTGTAGTCACGGCTTGTATATTTGGAACCTATCTGGGATTCTCAGGCTCATGACGCTGGAGAAAACGAAGAAGGCTGTGTTTACCCCAAGAGACACATGAGGACCCAGACGCGGAGAGCTTCAACAGCCTCGGGCCACCACGCCATTAAGTGGCAGATCCAGATATGGCAGCATAATGTGCTCGAAAGCAAGGGCACGCCTGGGGTCCTCCAGGGTGGTGTCATTAGGTCTCACCTACCTCAAAAGCATCTGAAAGCATCATTCACTCCTTTAACACAGTGATAAGAACTGACATTCAGAGTAGAGACAAGGTTATCACCAAAACCACTAAAACAAATGTATTCTGATTAAGGAGGAAGAGCAGAGTAAAACAGATTTAAAGTTTTCTATCTAAAATTCTTCTAAAAGACAGTAAAATCTCAGCCTTCCGGCATTTATGTCAATTCTTCCAGGGTTCCAGACAGTGAAGTTGTGACTATACTATTTTCATTTATAGCTTATAAAAGAGTCTGTCATGATGATAATCTCATGAACTCTTGGGGCGTCCGGCTGGCTCAGTCGGTTGAGCGTCCGACTTCGGCTCAGGTCATGAGTTCACCGTTCTTGAGTTCGAGCCCCGCGTCGGGCTCTGTGCTGAGACCTCGGAGCCTGGAGCCTGCTTCGGATTCTGTCTCCCTCTCTCTCTGCCCCTCCCCCACTCATGCTCTGTCTCAATCTCAAAA